ATTAATAATTTACAGGCAAATCAGCTGTTAATGTTCCTCTTCCGATTACACATATTTATCACCTACACTTAGTAAATTGGTAGTGGGTGAGAGAATTAATTCTTCATATCGTTGGTGTTATCAAAAACTAGCCAGTCGAGTGTTGTTTTAGATATTTTACTTTCATTATTAGGAAGTAACACATTTACAGCGCTTTATCCCTCTAGAAAAGCTTTAGATGAAGAATAATATTGTGAGAGTTCAGAGTGTTTCAACACTCTGAAATACACTCTTGTAAATCGTTCTGAAACCTGAAAAATTCTAAAAGATCAGTTTTTGTTTATTATCTTCTTATTTTCTGTTGGTTTCAAATTTGTTTAGTATTCGGCACAAATTTCGGCTTTTGCAGTTGTTAGTTAACACAGTTAACTACTGTGTTTTCCTCCATTTTAAACATTTTTTCTTCAATGCGACTCATCTTGATTTTTCATTTATCTCACACTTTTTATTATAAAAAATGTTTCCTACATGACTGTTGCTCGCTTTTATACAATTTTCATGAAAAAATAATGCGTTCATTGTAAATCGTAATTTTCTAAATGATTATTAACAAATTCTTTTATCGTTTTGGCGCCATTATTTAGTTGCGTCAGGCCCCATTTCTTCCCATCTACATCTAGGCTAGATTACTTAACTAGAGCGTATTAGCAACAATCTATCTTCCACCTGCTTCAATTTATGTCAGTGATTATGTGCGCACTTAATTAAAACGCTGAAAGCGTCTACCTTTGAAAACCATAAAAAATTGCATAAAGACAAACGATTTATTAACACACTTAGCTTATTCTGGGCTACTAAATTGCAATTTTCCATTATATCATTACTCACTTCCACTTAAGGTGTTTTGTTCATAAATAATGGTGTTGCTGTCGTGTGATTGAGATTTTATGTATATTTTTGCAAACTACATTTGAATGTTTGGCACTCCTTTCTTACCTCATGGTTTTACCTATTCCGGACTGATTTATAGACAATGCGGGTTTTTGGAGCGTTTATTAGGAAAGAGGTTTTATTTTATATACAGCACTTAGAGTTAATGTTAGTGTTAAAAGTGATGCGGTATGGTAAATAGCTGGGCACAAGAAATGCGGTTAGGCAATAAACGTTTACCACAAATGCGACCTTCCATGGGCAATAATAGCTCTTTTTGTGCCATTGTTGTTCTATTGAATGAAGCAACATAGAAAATGCCTATTCACGTTGAAACTGACGATTCCATGATAATGCTGGTTGCATTTCCAATAACTCGCCCGGTACTTAATAGAAACTAAATTAATTAATATGAAAATCTATTATGTTAATGTCTCATTGTAGTATTGCAGCTTATCTAAAGTGCGGATCATAATAATTAGAGCTACATATGCGGTCGGCACTTTAGTCCTAGTTTTATGAAGAAAAATCGAGCTTTCAAGCACAACTAAAATGCAATAATATAGCAATTGAATGGAATAATTACTCAATTAATTCCGGTAGGAATGAGATTTAGTTTTTGTGTTGTTAGGAGAAGCATTAGAAGGCAGTTTTGAATATAAAAGAGGAAAAGTGAAAGAAAAGAAGTTAAAATTTTCTATTTAATGAACAGGTACTTATAACAATCATTTGATTTAAGGGCAAGAATTACTGTACTTCGACTTTAAACTCTCTCGAGAAAAAATGCGATTGTTGTGCCAAGCACTTCTGACATAAAACTGATTTTTTGGCAAGAACTGATGAATCGACAAATTGAGAGTGTTTTTGCGTTAAAACTATTGTCGCTCCCGGAGGTCTCGGCACAATTTCGACTTTAAACTCTCTCTAATGCGATTGTTGTGCCGAGCCCTTCTGATACAAAACTGATCAATGGACAAATGGACAATGGATAACATCGACTTCAAACTCTTTTTAGTGCGGTCGTTGTGCCGAGAACTTCGGACACGACACAGATTTTTAGGTTTTCATTTTTATTTCTCTTTACGCAGTAGAAGACAGTGTTGACAATAAATGAAGAAAAGTGTAGGAAGAAAAGTTTACTATTGATGGGGAAGTGTTAGAAAAAGCGTGAAATAAGAAAAATTACTGTTTGTAAAGAGCAAAGTATTCTAGAAGAAAAATGCCCCCGTGGGACTTTGGCTTAGATAAGCTTCCTGCCTTGAGTTCTTCCCTTTTACCTCTCATTTATTCAATTTTTGTTTTTAACCCTTTGAGGCCAATTTTTCCAAACCTCCCTCCCGCCCAAGAAGTTTCTTTCTTTCTGGTTTGTAATCTTTAATTTTTTCAACTTCCTTTACTGACGCTCTCCACTTTTGTTCTGTATTTCCCAGCGCAAAAAAACTCAAAGGAGCCAGCTTGACAATGATTAACCACATCCTTCGTATTTATAAAGATGATAAATGTGCCTGAACAAACTGAACCAAGAACTTGATTGATTCCGGTTAAATTTAGAATTGAACTTGACATTTTCGGCTTCAGCCTGGATGCATCGGCATTCCGAAAACTCAAAAATAGATTACCTTTTGTCGAAAATAGTAACTGTTAGGCCAGTTTCCACTTGCCTTGTTGATGTTGATTGTTCGCGTGAATTTTGGTTTTTTATCTTTCGATTACCAATTATTGTAACATTTTATCAGTATTCAGCGTTGAACCGATTTATGGCGCCGGCTTTTCAGTTCCGACACTTTGACTCGTTTTATCAACTAAACTTATCGCAATTTGTTGCTTTGTTTTGAGGGTCATCTTATTTTTGGCATGGTCTTTCGTCAAACTTATCGCGTAATTGCTGATACTGTTAATCGACTAGAAAATGGGCCGAAATTTCGCAATTTGCGATGACCGATAAACGGTTGCTTTTAATAGTTATGCGACAATAAAATTTGTTTAGAAATCTGCAACTCAAATTGTTGGAAGTAATATGCGAAATTTGAAAATTCGGGGATGAAATGTGTATGGTTCAGAAAAGCTGGGCAATAGGGAGGTAATTTGGGTCATTTTCTAAGCAAAATTTAAAGAACCTAAAAAAATTATCTTTGCTGATGGATCAACACGTATTTTTCTCTTAACTGTTCTAAACTGCGGGAAATACGAAAATGTCTTGAACGGCAATGAAATTTTCTGCGTCATCAGAGCCACGAAATGTCTACATTTAATTGTATTTAATTCATACTTAATAAGAATGTACCTAGTTGAATTTTTGTGTCGATTATTTTATCCCAATTATATAACTAATTTTGATTGCTGATCGCATAGTTGGAAAAATGAAAATTTAAATAATTAAACCTATTTGCAAAACCCACACGAAAAAGCGACTTGAAAACAACATAGTGAACGAAATTCATTCATAAAAACCAAACTTACAAAGCCGAGATCGATGCCCAAATTAAGCGGGTACGCGAACGCCTTGAGGCGATGGTACTATTCTCGTTTCCGTTTCGGTTCCTGTGAGAACGCAAAAAACGCAAGAAGGCGAAACCGATAATTTCGCCTTCTTCGTAGGTCCTTGACCGTGCCCTGGTGCATCGATGGATGCACTCCATACACCAGTACCACCATGGTACCTGGCCATGTTGCCAACTGGTCGAAAATTCCACTTACGCTCATGACTTGGTACAGTTTTTAAGTTTTCGCATTGAGCTAAATTGCTTTCGTTAAAACTCCCAATGTAGTTGCGTCGGAAATGCGAATTTTTTTGCAGGATTACGTGAATTATTTAGCAAACTTCTGTTCGTTTCAGCAACTGTCTATTGTACTTGAAAATCGTTGTAAGAAACTACAATCGAAGCAAATTAGGTTTATTTTTCTTGTGGTTTTAAAGTGTTTTCAACTGTTGCTTTTGCATTGATGTCGGATTTATTACGCAGATCGTTCCGAGCTAAACATTAGCAGAAAAACAAAACTTCCAAGGTTTCAGAATTAATTATTAATCAACCAGAATTTATAAATATTAGAGCAGATAAAACTTCAAAGGAGTCAGTACCGATTTATCAAAGACTACTAACGATGGTGGCAACAAAATTTTCTATCGCTTTTAGTTCAATTTTTTCGTTTTCTTATTTTATTTAAATTTGGCTGTGCATCAGGCCTCCCGACATTATTAGTAAAAATCCCACAATTAATAAAACAAATTTTTCTTTGTTTCAGGTAAGATCAAATTACTATACTGTTGGTAAGTACTGGATTGTCGGTAAGTTTGTTGTTTTAGCGTTTTTCTGATAAAACCCCGTCCTTTCGTGAAAAAAATGAAATGTTTTTGAAGAATCTGCTTGTGATTTTTGTTACTCAGTAGACGTTTCGAAACATGTCGCGCTCATCAGGTTTTCAGCTTTTCTGCCATAAATCAGGCAGGCGGCAACATTGAGCGTCTTCTATCGGTGTAGACTCTCCTGTTCCATCTGGTAGCAGGAAACGAACACTATTCCGATAATTACAAGTAGACTCGATTGTTGAAATTTGTAATTGAGCGTGTGAAGTAGAGAGGGCGCGATATGTTAGTATTATATTATGTTCGCAAACCCCAAGTATATCTGGCGAAATAAATAAATATATATATAAGTATATATAAATCAATATAATTCTCATTTTTTAGTTTTATTTATCGCTCCAATATGGATGGAACTTCGTAGGTTTTTTAACTCGATCCGATCGAGCAATTTTTTTTCGATTTCATTCGAGTTACAGGTTTATGTGGCAAAAGAATGGTAGGATGAAGTTTAAGAACTGAATTGAACTTTTACTGAACAGTAAAAGAACACACATACCTACTTTAACAGCACGTTGTCAATAGTAAACATCGAATTTGAAGAATGTCCTAGCATTTGTGAACTTCTTCTACTTTTACGATCGGCACAGCTGTTGTTTTTAACAGTTTCTTGGCTGTTAGGTCGTTTCTAAATCAATTAGACAATATACACATATCTTGGGCAAATACGGCAATTTATGGCAATTTCACCAGGAGGCACGAATTTTCAATAATAATTTATTGTCCTTACCTTGTCTGTAGAACTGTTTTAGTTTAGTATTCTAATCAGCAGATACGCACAACCAACAAACCGATCCGCGCTAATTTCCACCTAAGTAGCTCTGATAGCCGAAAACGAGGCTACTTTTAATACAATTTAGAAGCGATTTTTACCGGTTCGTGACTAAAATCGAACTGATCTTGAAAATTGAGCAGCGAACGGCTCTTTTCAACTTTCCAGTTGAAATTCCAATTTAAAGACTCGATGGGTACGTGTCTTGTAAATTTCAAGATAAATCGCCAATACAGTTAGTCGATCTTCATTCTTCACATGTACTTATTTCCAAGATCGTTTAAAATGTATCGCAATCAGGCCGTATATTTGGGATGGTCGACCAGACGATGGCTCGTTCTTGCCGAAAATGACAATTCCAGTTGAAATTCGACGATAGTTACTGATCTGTTTGATTTTTATTAATTTATATTATCACTACTTTATGTAAAATGTATTCGATAACGTAGCTAAATTGAAAAAATCAGTCATCAAATGTCCATAAATTCATATAATTTGTTTATAGTAATATGAAAAAAATCATGGTTGTATTTGGAATCGCCGTACTTTGAACAGTTTTTTTGCAAATTGATAATTTTGTAAAAATATTGCTTGATTATTATTAATTTACTTAATTGTTTATGTTTTGTTAATTTAATCTGTAAAAGCAACCATTGACTTCCACCAAGAAAAACATTTTCCATATCACCTTAATTTGTTTATTCAACGCATGGAAGTTCGTTAAAGCCTCTTAACTAAATGATGTCTCTCCACTTCTTTGGAGCCACCACTTAAAAATAAAGTCCAACTGGCGTCGATTCGCCTTGTCTAACTTAATTTTATGTTGTAAACATCCCTAAATAAATCTGTCGAGAGTAGTTTCGGATTCTGGAAAATAAACATTGCATCCTGCAGAGTTATGGGTTGTTTTTTGGAGTTGCCCCGCTCCCACTCTATATACATGAATAGATAAGCTTGATGAATCCTAATCTTAATTGATTGAAGACTGCAAAAGCCACTTTACTTTACATCTACAGCCTCTCGAATACTGTTTCCTGATAAATATCAAATGTTTGAAATCCTCTTAATTTTTGAAGTTTTTTTTTGCGTTGAATGATAAGTGCTTAGCTTACTTCGTCTTACTAATGCTTATTAATAAACGTGACAATGCTCAGTCGTCGACCTTGTTTCGGCTACTTAAGTCGCAATTTTGGGTCCGAAATCGGCGTGTTTCGGAATTTCAAACACCATCGGCAACTTTGTGTTTATCGGCGATAGTTTGTCGGGTTGCGACTGTCGTCATTCCCCAGTCTAGTCTCCTATTCATATCTATGAAATATCGGAGATGCCGGCTTAAGTCGGTTACGTAAGGAACGCATGCGTTCCTTTCAAGAAATCTAGGCTGGGTTGTCGATACCACCGCAAATTCTTCAAAGTATTAAGAAATTGGGGTTTCTGTTCGGAAAAAATTTCGGCGTTTTACTCGAGAGCGCAAAGAAAAAAACTACACCGACACAAAATAATGGACATTTTCCACGCACTTTAGAAGTTGGAAGGTTCATAACAACACAAGTCTTAGATAAGTTCTATATTGTTGAGGCGGATTCATTTTTTTACAAACTTCTTTTTGGGTATTTTGCCTCAAAAATTTTTGTCTTTAAAAAAGACAGAATTTCCTCACGTCTTTTATTACAGATTGATAAATAGTGCTCCTATTTCGCAATAAGAACGAATTATTTATCAAAAAGTAATCAAGAACTATCACCTAGAGGGTATCCTGCGACACACTTAGGCTCAAGCTGTAAGAGAAAATTCCAATTAGTAGAGAAATTCATTTGAAAAATTACCTTGACGTTTCGATAGCTATTTTCTGCTATCGTTATCAAAAGAACCTAAATGAACCTAAAAAAGAGAATGTTAATAAATTGTGTAACAATAGTAGGATAATACAAAATATGAAAATTCACTCTGATAATTCGTCTGTGCAAATTGTCAGTTATGGGTTATTATTATATGTTTTGTATTATTATATTATTGTATGTTGTTTGTATGCTGGTTTTATTTGCTATTTTCAACAAAACGAATCAACGATTACTCATATATTTTGTTTCACGTCTTCCCTATACATATCAAGTTCTTCAACTTCCACAAATTTCCTTTTGCGTTTAATCAATTCTCAATGAGATCAAATCAGTCAGCTTTTTGTCACATACTTCGCAAAGGCCAAGCTCATCTGGATCTTCTTTATTCACATATTTGTCTTGTTGATGAACAACATTTTTTCTGTTCTCTGAACTTTTTCTTCATTGGCAGCCGCTGTTTTTGAATTAAATTTTCTGCTCTTTTTTATTTTCTTCTCATTTTCTCCTTTTATTATTTGTTCATGTCATTGGCTGGATTTTTGGGAACGTTTATTAGTTTTATGCGAAAATATTTCAATATTTTCTTCAAGCATTCGGCAAACAGCTAAGAACTGATCATTTAAAGCGTGGCTCTAGTTTCGAAATTCGTTTTGCATTTTCCAAATAATCTTTATAAGCTCTAGATGGTCGATTTCTTTGTGCCCTAGAAGAAATCGAGGAATTTTGTCAGTCTTTTTTTTTTGTTTGTCTTAAAGTTGGTTCGAGAGCTCGATTAGTAATAACTCAACATATTTTTGTTGAAACTGGGTATTTTTCGGGGTTTTAGGGCGTCCTGGAAAACAATTTTTTCCTGACGTTTCGCAAGCACGAGAGACTTCCATTTTCAGAGGCGGTTTGCTGGCGCGTATGCCAAACTTATTTTTATCATTTCCCATTTGGAGTTTTACGGAAACATTACCTTTAACGCCCAAAGTTATTAGCTTGAAATAATTTAATCTAATCTTAACGATTTCTGACAACACCCTTATCTGTTGATAACAGTATCAGAAATTAGAAGGGCGGTTTAATTAAGAGCTGTAAGTGCTATCATCGGGTTGCCGCATGTTATCGAAAAACCCCAAGTACCGTTTTAGTTTTGCAATGCATGACAGTTTTCCAGGGGGATAATTGAAAGGGATTGTCCTCCTCGACCACCCGATTTAAACCTGTTTGATCATACTCCAGTTGACTCAAAGGCTCAAAAGCTAGCAAAGTTTCAAGCTTGCTCTCATCATCAGCTGGTGTAGATAAATATCTAAAGATTTTCTGAATGATAGATCCGGCAGCATTGTTTAAGACAGGTGAGCAGTTCACCGCGAAACGTTTACGGGAGCAGCACGGTTTGTACGTAGGCTAAATAGCGAACGAACGAAAACAATGGGCATATGGTGAGAAAATCGGGAGTGTGCTTGATTAAGGGCTCGCCCTGGTGATGACGAGTGGCCGAAACGTCGCATTTAGCCGGAAACCGTTGGCTCGACCCGGAACTCGCTTGGGCGCAACCTTGGCTTAGCCGGAGGCTGTAAAGGAACCAGGTTAGGTCGATTGTTTTTGGTGTTGATCAGCGATCAACCAGCCTACTGGGTGGACTCGAAGAAACAGTTCCAATAGCGTCATTGTTCTTTTGGGGAGTTGCAAATGGGGAAGATAAGCTATCTTTTATGAAACTGATATCATTGCATTTCAGGTGCTGAGCAGGACGAAACTCTTGATTTTTTTTAGAGTTTCTTCCTTCTTGTCGCCGTTCCTTTGTTGTATTCTAAACGAAGAGCGTTTGAAGAATTTGGCCCAATTCGGTGCTACAACATTCTTCAGCGGATTTCTGGCTGCTGACCTCACAGAGCCCCCTAATATTGTTCAAACGAGTTTTTCGCATATTTATCTGGCGATTTAGTCAGACTTTTGAGCCGTTTGAATAAATCATACAGCCAAAACTAGATTTGATGTCCTTGAATTCACGAAAGAACCAGCTTTCAACGGTCGTTTTCTTCAGCTGAATCTTTTTGGGCGCCCAAGTCCCAAGTCTAATCGAGTTATTATTGACGTTAATGGCTTTGAAGTCGATTTTTTCGTTTTCTTGACAATGTTTTTTTGTGGGAACTTAGCCGTTTTGAAAGTCTAAGGTCGATGTGCGAGTGAGATCCAACGTTCACAAACTTTGCACTGTGTGCAAATATAATTATAATCATCATATGCTGCAGCTTTTTGCGTTCGAATAATTGCTATTTGTTCCACTTATTTTGACTCTGAAGTTCCATTCTTCCTGCTGATTTTATCCGCTCATTCGTGGGAGTTATGAAATGGAACAATCGGAACTGTTTGGACGAGTCCAGTTGATCTGTGCTGAGATCATTCAGATACACTTTTCTGAATGATTTGCATACTTAAGGCTGAATTACGCTACTTAATAATTGCGGTGCTGTCAGTGTTGAGGAGCGGTTTGCTGAGAAACTATGGGAAAATACCAAAAAGTACCGTATGGGCGAAGAATCGACATCAACGAAATACGAATTTTCAGAACCAAAACCTACCTATTACTAAGTAATTAATAGATGAGTTAACGTTCGGAACACGGAAAGTTTGATTCTAATCATGATTTATTATGGGTTTTGCTATTAATTAAGCCTTTTGTTGATATGTGATCGCAACTAGATAATATTGGCCAGAATCAATAGTTTATTTAGTATTATTATATTTCGTCTAAAAAATCGAGCTCTAAGAATAAACCTCAATTAATCAATGAACTTCGTTTGGAAACTTTATGCCGGTAAAATGTTACATAAATTATTTAATTAATTAATTATAAATCATCGAATATATATCTGAACTTGGCAATGTATTTGCATAAAACTTCATACAAAGAAAATTGACTTCTACAAGCCCAATCTATGTAAGTGATTAATTACACGACTTCTCCGTGTAATTAGTTGCATGTTCCGAAGAACATTCCAGTTGTAGGTTTTGTCATCAATTAAAAAACAATAATTAAACGTAATTGACGTGGGCGAAGCAATTACATCTATCAACAGGATGAAACATCGGATAAGTTTCGATGGGGTTTTAATTGAGTTTTCTGGGTGCGATAGCGATTTAGAGTGTTTTTTTCCAAAAACCCATGTTGGAAAACATCCGAAACCAATCATTCGAATTAAGCAAACGCTCATTTCAAAGCTTCTTGCGCGTTTCATCTGTGTATCATTAAAGCGCAAATGACACGACCATTAAAGTATCTGCATAAGCAAGCAAGTAGATTCAAAGACGATAAACGGTACCGTTATCTAGACCTCCCATCTAACACATGAGTTATTTCAGAATTTGTGCAAATGATGGTACCGCCTAAATTAAGGTGTGAATTGATGAAGAATATTTTATAGGCTGTGTACGTTCAGGAGGCGATCATGTAGTTCTAGACGGAATTTGAAAGTGAATAGAACGCAGAAATTGCTAAAAGCGTGCCAAATTACAAAGGCAACGAATACATAAACTAAAATTAAAACAAGGTATTACATGTGAAACATGTTTAACTGCGCTTATAAGCAAATAATAAAACCAAAAGTCGTTTTTTTGCACTGGCAACAACAAACGCTTAATTGAGATTGGTGAATTTTTCGTTTTGGAATAGAATTTGTTCCTGACGTTTCGCAAGCACGAATGACTGGCACCTTCAGAGGTTGACTGAACGTTATCAGCGTTTAGTTCTACAAACCAGGAACAGTTTCATATTTAGAAAGCCACCAGACTAATTAAGGTAACCCGATAAACAATCCTTTTATGTCAAGTCGCAGGTTTATCGAGCAAAAAATGTGGTTCCAAACAGGAAATGTGCCACATTTATTTATCATATATCTTGCTAGTAGAGTAAGCCGCAGGCCGCTTCCAGTCTATGTTAGTGCAAACAGCCATGCAACCGATGCATACTATCTTAAATCGATCGCATATGGTCAATAAATTACACCTATGGTGTGCCTGAATGCAGTTTGCATCGAGTATTTGTGAGAATTTATTTACTTATCGGTTATTATTGAAGGAATACGTCAATTTGATCGGGCTTCCAAGTGTCCAACTGCTTCTGCAGCCGGTTTGGTTTCGTACTTTTTGCGCCTGCTGAGCAATTTGCTACGGTATTTATGCCAAATGGTAATACATTTCATTGTTTTGTTTGTTTGATCATTTATTCTGCCAATTTTATGTACCACCGAGTTTTTTTGGTTTAATTCTGATTTTGATCGTTATCAACCAAGATTTTCTATACGCGAAACTGTTAATTTTTTCGGGCTTTTAGACCGCCGCCCATAAGAAATTCTTCCTGACGTTTCATAAGCACGACTGACTTTCATCTTCAGAGATGGTTTGTTCGACACAGCAACTAACTTATTATTTATTTTTTGAATATTGTTTTTTATATTTTATTTATATTAATTATTTATATATAATATGCTGTATTCTGATTGTGTATCGGTAACCTGTTTGTGTATTTTTAAAACAATTTTCTGGGAATACGCTTAGTGTTTCTGTTTTGTTCATTTTCTCGAATTGAAATTATTTATTCTGTATTGTATTATTTAGAATTTATTTTCTGCATTAGATGATAATTAATAAATAAAATACAAATAAAGTAGAAAATATAAAAATTTCGCCTATTTTCAATCGTCCTTTATTAAATGTTTAATCCAATTAAAGTCACTTAAAATATAAAAGTTAGAACATCGATAGTGACTAACTGTTCATCAAGTGTGCAGTTTGTGCCAACATCAGAGCCCCATCGAACTTGTTTACTATGTATTGTGTTAAGCGACGGAAAATTATTTTTTGTAGAATTTCTTTTCTTCATTAGATGATAATTAATAAATAAAATACTAATAAATTAAAAAATAGAGAAATTCCGCCTATTTTTAATCGCCCGGTTTTAAATGTTTGATCCAATTCAAGGGACTTAAAATATAAAAGTTAGAACATCGATAGTGACTAACTGTTCATTAAGTGTGCAGTTTGTGCCAACATCAAAGTCCCATCGAAATTGTTTATTATGTATTGTGCTAAGCGACGGAAGATTATTTTTTTGTGGAACTTCTTTTCTTCGTTAGATGATAATTAATAAGTAAAATTATAATAAAGTAAAATATAAAAAAAATTTGCCTATTTTCAGTCGCCCTGTATTAAATGTTCAATCCAATTCAAGTGACTCCAAAAGTTAGAACATCGATAGTGACTGACCGTTCATCAGGTGCGCAGTTTGTGTTAACATCAGAGCCCCATCGAACTTGTTTATTATGTATTGTGTTGAGCGACGGAAAATTATTTTTTTGCAGAATTTCTTTTCTTCATTAGATGATAATTAATAAATAAAATACTGACCAAGTAAAAAATAGAAAAAATCCGCTTATTTTTAATCGCCCGTTATTAAATGTTTGATCCAATTCAAGGGACTTAAAATATAAAAGTTAGAACATCGATAGTGACTAACTGTTCATTAAGTGTGCAGTTTGTGCCAACATCAGAGTCCCATCGAAATTGATTATTATGTATTGTGCTAAGCGACGGAAGATTATTTTTTTGCGGAACTTCTTTTCTTCGTTAGATGATAATTAATAAGTAAAATTATAATAAAGTAAAAAATAGAAAAATTTTGCCTTTTCAATCTCCCTGTATTAAATATTCAATTCAATTCTTCAAAAGTTAGTTACTCGATTGAAAAATTGTAAATCGTGCCCTTTTCGGGAATTTTTAAAATTTGAAAATCGGCCTATTATGAACAAGCCCTTAGTCATTCTTTGTGATTTTGCTATCTTCTGCCGTTATAACAACTTTATTTCCTGGTATTCGTGAGGAAACTTCAAGCAATGGAAAACCGTTCGACTATTTTGAGTTTATTTTTCTAAAATTTGAAATTGAAACGACGAAGTTTCATGAGGCTCCAATGGTCAATAACTTCTTAAGATTTTTGAGAATTGGGTTTTTAGAATACAACTGAAATGGTTTCCCATCAAGAAAAATCAAAGAGAAACCTTCCTCATGCCCGCTGCTGGAAAATCTCTTTTTTTTCACTTAAAATTTCATGGATTTCCGTCTTCAAGGAATGCAGTAACGTTCGATGCAAGTCTCGCTTAGATAATTTTTCCTATTTGGTTATCTAATTTAAATGGTATCCAAGTCAGATGGAGTTGATAGTAGAAAACTAAGATTTTGGAATGGGTTTTTTTAAACTGAAATGGTTTCTGATCTTGGCAAATCAAACAGCAAAACTTCTTTATGCACGCTGCAAGAAACCGATTTTTTTAAATTTGAATCCGTATCTTCAACGAATGCAGTAACATTCAATGCAAATTTCGCTTTGAAAAAGGCCACTTGCAAATTTTTCTTCAAAAGACTTTGAACAACAAAGACAAACCAAACTCACCAAGCATTTTCAGAAGACTTCGTCATGTTCAGAAAAAAAATGAGTTTCTATCTCTTCTAGTTTGAAAGTGACGCACTTTTTAATCCCGGACTGACAGATTAAAGTATAACGTGAAACTTTGAAAATTCCTCAAAAGCCTCTGAGATGCCCGATTGAAACCAAACTTAGCGAGCATCTCAACAAGACTCTCCAATGTTGAGGAATAAAATCTTGTTGGGGAGCCACAGATTTTTGACTTTTTAAAATTTTTTAACGACTGCAATAATATTCGAGGCAAATCTTGCTTAGATAATTTTTCCCATTTGGTTATCTAATTTAAATGGTATCCAAGTCAGGTGGAATTGAAAATGGAAAGCTTATAAATGCCGTCAGCATAGCATGACGTCAAACCAGTGTGGGTTTTCCGTTTAACGACTCTGGTACTGGTCGGTTCGGGTGTTTATTCAAATTCCTATTACAGTAATGGAAGCAGAAATGATAAATAAGTCCATATTGAGGCTGCGTTGAAAGGTTCCGAATACTAACCAGCCGATGCCAACCAGTCAGACATGTAACTTTCCAATCGAAATATGGAGCACCCAGACAGTTGATTATTGAACAATTTCCACCAAAAGCTGATTGGCTATTTTCGGAGCTGATATAAAAAATGATCCTGGATGGAAAACCGGCTGAAATCATCAATACCCAAATATAGGGTTAAGTGTAGATCAGTAGGTGTGAACCATTTAGTGTGTAAATTCGCTGATGATATTTAAAATGCACATGTGGGAGCCGGTGTTGGCAAATAAAAACCTACCAAAAGCGGTCGTTTCATTGTTTATGGTATGACATTATTTTTGACGCCTAGTGCTGTTATGCGGCTGATATAAGTAGGTAATATTAACCTACTTTGGCGTGATGTTTAAGCTACATGGTAAATAAATTGGGCAATTTTTTTCGATGTTGGTTTCACACAGTTCATGTCTCGTCAGCTCGAAGGCTGCATTTTCCACCACTTCTGTGACTTCTAGCAAGTTGAACTCTGTGTGGCTTCAATTTAAACAAACGCCCTGCTCTGAATATCTACTACAATAAGATAACTCAGTTCTTTATTGCTCTGTTTTCGTATTTCTTACTTAAGCAGCACTTTTATATTCATGTTATTTTGTTCATTCTCTTCACGAAGCGTGCCCGATCGTGATCGTTTTCTTAATGATCATTGCTTAATATTATCTGTGTTTTACGTCCTCCTCTTCAATAATTTCCCTTATGTTTTATTCGTCAACTTTTTCAATGTCTTTTGAGTAAATGGTGCTGCACTTTAGAAAGTTTTCCTTCAGAAAAATGAATCAAAACGGTGAGTTATTCACGTTCAATTACATAAGCCATATGATCAGCCCACATAAATGCTGCACGAACTGCTACTTTTTTGCATTCTTCCTACATCATCATTCCATTTTTAAACGGTCGTATCGTAATGGGGTGTTTCGTCACTAAATGTATGCGAAGCGATAAGTGTACAGGCATTGATTGTGTGCAGAACCAGAGTGGGCGCAAAGAACCTTACAATGTTAATAAGGCCGCGTACGAAATTATGAAAACTCCATCTAGACCATATGTTTTTGCCGGTTCTTGCTCCACGGAACCAGAAAGTAAAAGTGAATTCATTTCCATGGTGTTAAAATCAAATTAATTAGATCGCACGTACGGTTTCATAAAAGGCGTTTTTCCTCTTGAGTCTCCGAGAATGAAGAACGTGTCAGCATTATTGTTTGCTCGAACCCAGCAATGATGATCTTGAATTGACACCTGCGGATTCCTCTGATGGCACAATAAGATAAAAGTCGAATAATTCTTCTACATGGTCATTCTGACTAACCAGTTAGATGAAGATCAACATCTCTTGATATGTTGCGTATTGAATTAAAGTGAACTCATTCCTCCGGTGTTCAACATAACGTAGATGTTGTTTTAGTTTATTTGGTATCTTTAATGCTTCAACTAGCCTTGTGTCGATGTTTTCGAGTTTCGCATATTTTTATTTTCTTCTCATTTCCTTTTTCTGCCTGCTGTGTCTTGTTCTTTATCGAACTTCGATTATTTCTATGGCCATTTTGCGTGTAGGCACCATATATGTAGACCCTCCAATTTCCCTTTTGGGAAGATTTATTATAGAACACACACTGCTATTTGTCTCCACCTTCCGGTTTCATTAACGTTATTGCTTTTGTAATTCCTTCATATTGAAACAGTTTGTGCACTTAATGTCTTGAACACTTCCAGTTCTTCTCATCTTCAGTGTAGGACATTCAATTTTTGAGACTTTCGGTCAATAATCGGGTTTCTGTGCATAGTTGTTTACCTAAAAACTTTTCATGTTTTATGCTCTGGGCGATTGTTTGATCTCTACAATAACACAAACATCAAGTAAAATATCACAATCGAATTGTGTGCAGTTTCCCACAAAGGGCGAAAATTTGATGTTGTTTTTAGCTTTACGCGGTTTTAGCTAAATTGGACAATCGGCTCAAACATGACGTCGCCCTTTCGGTCATATTTCAACTATTATTTTGGCTACGATACTCGTTTCCTTACCACTGGATAGCGAATGAAAAATTTCATTCACGAAGTGATACTTGAACTAGTAAATATCGGCAGTTTCACATAAAAAGCGAAGTTTGAACATCATTTTTAGTTTTATTCATTTTTAGCAAAATTGAACCACCCGCTCAAACACAAGGTTTTTTGCCCATATCTCGGAAACAAATTGAAAACAATTGACGCAATTTTACGAGCTTTTAGTTAAACTGGGCAATCGGCTCAAACATGCCGCCTTTTTGGTCATACTTCAACAATCATTTGAGCTAAGATACTCGTTTTCTTACCACTGTGTAGCGAATGAAAAAATTCACTCACGAATTGAAACTGGATTTAGAAAATGTTGGTAGTTCTTACATAAAACGCGAACTTTCAACATCATTTTTAGTT